CTACTTTTTACTTTTTAAATGCAAAACACCTTAAGACTACATGATCTTTCCATTTGTGGACACTGTGCATCAAAGGTTTATTAACCATCCATTTTATCAAACCCATTTTTTTTTCTAGTACCAGGGATAGGCACTTGCTGCACTTTCCAAATACTACTTTTTAAATGCAAAACACCTTAAGACTACATGATCTTTCCATTTGTGGACACTGTGCATCAAAGGTTTATTAACCATCCATTTTATCAAACCCATTTTTTTTTCTAGTACCAGGGATCAATCTCAGGCACTTGCGGTTTCAGGGAGTTACAGCACCACTGAGCTACATCCTGGCCCACCAAACTAAATCTTTATACCAGGGATCAAACTCAGGACCTTGAGCTTGCCAGGCAGACAGGGAGCCACTGACCTGAAACGCTGGCGGCTCTGCCTTTCACTGCTGTAAAATGTGAGGCGATTCACTTAACCTCTCAGAAGACTCATTTGGTCATTCACAAAATCAAGTAAATAATATCTACCATCCCAGGTTGACCTTAGAATTAAATGCAACCTTACATTTAATGAAATGAAAAGTCCCTTAGACAATACCCAGCACACATTATGCACTATACAAAGACAGATTTGCCTCTCTTTCTAGTGTATATTTAGTATCTCAGGAGTGATTTCAATAATAATAGAATCTTGTTGAACCACCATCCAAATATATTTAAAATGTTTGCTGGTTTTGCAGCAAGTAAAGAAGGGGCAAAAGGATAAATTATAAAGCTGCAAGCTCACTCATTCTCTCTTAGGGAAACAAATAAACAATTTGAACTCAAACTTCAGTTTCTAGATCCTTAAACTTTCTTCTCATTAGAATTGCACGAACTAAATTAAATTAGAGTCTATTTGAGATTGTTTTGCACCTGCAAAATGAAAACTATTGCAGTGATTAAGTTAAAACAAAAAGTAATAGGTGCTGAAGGAGCCGGCTGGCTGGTATATTACTGTTATTGCATTTGAGAGGGTTCAATTTTTCTGGTCCCTAGACCGTGGGAATTTTCGGAAGACACTGGTGAGATCCTTTTTATCTTTGACAATCACTGATTCTAGAGTCCTCCAGACAAACAAATCTGAGAACACCTTGGGAAAAGGACTCTACAAGAGCTACAAATATAGTCACATAATGGACTCAGGAGGCTCAGTACTCCTGATGGGTTACATAGAACATAACTGCCCCCTCCAATGTATACAGCACAACAGACAAGACAGATTGCTCTTGAGCTGGGGGCTGTAGCTCAGTGGTCGAGTGCTTGCCTAGCATATACGAGGCGCTGGATTCCATCCCAAGAACAACAACAAAAAAGACAGATTATTTGAGCATTCTTCATATTAGTTTCTTCTCAGCCCTGTCTCTCAGCAGCATATTAAAAGGATGGCAGATGGGCACGGTGGTTCACGCCTGTAATCCCACCACTCGGGAGGCTGAGGCCGGAGGATCGCTGTGAGTTCGAGACAAGCCTGGGCTACACAGGGAGTTCCAGAGCAGTCTGCACTACATAGTGAGACCCTGTCTCAAAAAACTAAAAACAAACAAACAAAAATATGGCAAATCAAACCCTTGGGCTCTAAAGAGTCCCTAGAATCAATGAAACTTTGTGACTTTTTTTTTTTATACTTGGAATTGAACTTGGGGCCTCACACTTGCCAGGCAGGTGCTGTGCTGCTGCGCTACATCCCCGGCCCAACTTTGTGACTCTTACAAACACATTCTCTTGCCTTCTTTCCTGGTCATTCTGAACTTACCAGGATGCAGTGAGGGTGCTTGTCCACTGTCTCTGACTCCTCTCTAGGCTTCATTTGGCTGTGCTTCCAGCTCTGCATAGGCTCTGGATGGCTTCCTGCACGGATAATCTAACGTAGATACTATGCACTTTCCCCATTCTCCGGGCCTCCAGGTTGGTGATATCGTGAGTCATATAGGAGCAGCCCTGCATTACAACAATTAATGCCCCCTGTGGTAAATCACTGATCAATGAAAGGTGAGAGCTGGGGGTAAATACAAGTTTATACAAGTTTATACAAGTTCTTGAGGAGGTTTCCACAGATCCGGCAATCCTTCCTAGTTGGTGGCAGCCAACTCACTATGCAGTCTTAGGGTGGATCTCCCTCCTTTCCTGATTCACTGCCCTTATCTCTCATCCTGCTCCCTGGTAATGTGGCTCTGCCATGAGCCCTTGGCCATGTCCTCCCTCCTTCCTTCCTTCCTTCCTTCCTTCCTTCCTTCCTTCCATTATAGACAGCTAAGTTAGGTAGAAATATTACAGGCAGACAGGGCTAAGCCCTCAAAGGAGTCAGGACAAAAGATGAAAAACTTGGGCTGTGGATTTAGCTCAGTGATTCCACTGCTTGCCTTGCAAGTGGCAAGGACCCGAGTTCGATCCCCAGTACAAAAAAAAAAGATGAAAAGACATTACAAGTGTGACTGCAAAGACATCTCTTGGCAGCCAGGCCTCAAGATAAAAACAAATGACCAGGCCTATATACTTCCCCAAAGCACAAAATAAGAGGTAGCACGTGGCCTAATAAAGTCTAAATAGGCATCAGTCACCTCGGTAGGGTCTAGTTCCATTCCTTCCTTAAAAAGTTCTTTGTTCTTTCCATGTACACTTGTTACATGACGTGCCTTCCCATTGAATCGATGTTACCTAAGTGGCTATACTTTTAATCATATTAGTTGATTCTAATTGTGTCCCAGGTGGTACCCACCTCATGATTTTTCTTCCCCTGTAAACTGGGGTCCTTGGCAACCTATTAGGGTACCCTCCTGTCTCTCTTAGGAGCTATATCTTTCCCTCTCAATAAATATTTCCGACTCTTTTTCTTTTCTTTCTTTCTTTTCATACTTCCTACTCTTAACCTCCATTGTTTCTTAGAATTTATTCATCAATTTTGGAGAACATGAATTTGGCATATCTGACACCTAGCAAGTTGAGAGTCACCTTATATCATTTAAAGACCCTATACCATCTTCCTTCCTTCTTTCTTCCTCTCCTTTTTTTCTCTTTCTTTCTTCCATAGTTTCACAGTTGCAACAAGAGCATGATGAAGAGCAGGCCTGAAAACCTAAGTGTAACAACACTAGAGTTGAATAAAAGACAGAATGCACACTCTTCTCCCTGCTCCTCTGTGTGGGAGGAGCCAAGAGTCATGGGTAAAAGTCATCTTGCAACTACTGCTCTATGGGTCGGTTGGAGTGCAAGACTGGAAGAGGGAATTTCCCCTTTTGGGATTCTTTTTTTTTTTGTTTTGGCTTTTTTGGTACCACCGGTTGAACTCAGGACCTTGCACTTTCAGGGCAGGTGGCAGCACCACTGAGCTACATCTCTGGCCCTCCTGTTTTGTACAACTCAGGATCTAGTATTAGAACAAGATCTGGTCCTAATCAAGTATTCAGGTATAATTTGCCTAGAATAAATGAAGCTATTTCGAGAACTTTCTTGACATAGTACAGTATTAGGAAGAAGTCAGAAGGCTTTGGGGGCTCGGGATGTCAGAATTGATTTGCTACGTAAGACCTGAGAAGCCATCAGAGGACACTGCCTACAGGGCTACCAAAGCAGTGGCATTGTCTGAGAGGCTTACTGGTGGCCTCCACTATGGGTCACAGTGGAAAGTGAGAGGTGCCGGTACCAAAGCAGATGGTGTAATTCTGGAATAGCAAAGGCTAGGTGACTGCATTTAAATATCAAAGAAGGTCAATGTAATTATTCTATCTGTGGAGAGTAGCTAGCCTGAAAATCCAAATTTTGAAATTTTCCAAAATCCTAAACAACTTGAGCTTGGACACAATGCTACAAGTAGGTTTTTGTTTTTTGTTTTTTTCTTTTTGGACTGGGGATTGAACTCAGGAACTTGTGCTTGTGAGGCAGGTGTGGCACCACTGAGCTAAATCCCACTCCCATACAAGTAGAAAATTTTACACCTGACCTTATGTGATGGATCAGTCAAAAAGCAAGCCCACTAAAAATGCTGCATAAAATTAGCTTCTATTTCCAAGGATTTAGCTCAGCGGCAGCACAGCTGCCTCACAAGCACACGTTCCTGAGTTCAATCCCTCGTACTGGAAAAAAACAAACAACTTTTAGTTATACGAAGAAGATTACAGGAGACACAGATGAATTTTATATTTAGATTGGGTCCCATCCTCAAGATAAATCATTATGTGTATGCAGGTATTTCGAAATCTGAAAAAAAAAATCCAAAATCTGAAACACTTCTGTTCTTAAGCATCTTGCATAGAGAATACTTAAACTGTACTGGGAAGCAATAGTAGAATGCTCATTAGGATTCTTTGATCCACAGGGATTTGGAAGATGGTGTATCATAGTGTATCACACTGCTCCAAAGTGGATAACAAGTAGGAAAAGCTTGATATATAGAATAAATTTTTTTAAATTTTTATTTCAGGAACAGGGATTTAGCTCAGTGGCACCAGCACCTGCCTCGCAAGCACAAAGACCCAAGTTCGATCCCCGTTAAAAAAAAAAAAAGAAAGAAAGAAATTTCAATGTAATGCAAGTAGATATTAAGAAAAGAAAAAAAATTAAAAACAGTTCTTACTTTATGAAAAAATAAAGCAAACTTTTGCAACAAATTAATTAAGGAATAACATGAGTTAATACACTATTTTTTAAAAAGTTCTTAGGGCTGGGGATTTAGCTCAGTGGTGCCATACCTGCCTCACAAGTGCAAGGTTGTGAAGCTGTGATTTTGATCCCTAGTACCAAAAATTTAAAAAAAAATTTTTTTTTAAATTCACGAGCAGAGTTCAGCTGTCACTACAGAAAATCACAGTTCTAGTCAGGTGTGAAGGCACACACCTGTAATCCCAGCACTATGGCACTATGGGGTGGGAGGAAATCAACAATTTGAGCCCAGCCTATGCAATTTAAAAACTTAGCAAGACCCTGTCTCAAAATAAAATAAAATAAATAAATAAGAAAGGGATTTATCTCAGGGGTGCTGGTGCCTGCGTAGAAAGAAAAAGGTACTGAATTCAATCACTGGTGCTGAAAGAAAGAAAGAAAAAAGAAGGAAAGAAAGAGAAAGAACTGAGGATACAGATCAATGTGAAAGACCTATGTTCAATCCCTACAACACACACACACACACACACACACACACACACACACACAAAACCAGGTTTCCTCCTAAGTTCCTAGATGTCTGTTCATAGGTGCAAAGCTCCCTGAAAATGAAGCCAGGATCCTTTAGGACAAAACTCATAGACAGATGATAGGTAGATAGATAGGCAGACAGATAGATAAGATAGATAGATAGACAGAATGACAGATAGATAAAATGTGACTATTTGAAAAATTTTAGAAAGACACATTACCTACCATTAATCCCCATCAACATATTTCTCATTTCAAACACACTTATCCTACTGTTCTTGCCAGTTTCTGAAGCAGCTCCTGAAGTCCTCTTTTGTTAAGTGTCTTTACAAGGTGTGATTTAAAAAAATGGTGAATGATGCTGCCAGTGCTGTCCAACGGGAAGGCAGGCTCATAAAAACATTACAGTGTATACTTATCTACCTTATTCATGAGATCTAGCACCATTCCACTCCTGACTCCTCTTCAAAGTGAAAATGACAATGACAAGTACATATTTTGAATTGATTCAGGACACAGGGGCAGTCACAACAGCACAACTAAAGACACAAAGAAAAGGACTTCCAGTATTTCTTTATGAAGTGAGAAGGACGATTGCATAATTGCGATTGAAGCAAGAGGGACTGTTTTGAGGAGAAGTGGCAATGCGTCTTTAGTTATAACAAACTTTCTAAAACACTTTCTTAACATTCACCGTATTTTAAAATCACTGTACACATAGTAAACGAATCCCCAGTCATTCCTCCACAGAGACCTGTGGTCGCTGTTCAGGGTAACTGAACTCAGAGTTTGCGAAGACTGTGTGACATGGGATCGGAGATATAATTCAAACCAAGGGGCCCAAAACCTCATGTGCTTCTGTGCTTAGAGTCCTGACTCAAATCCAGCCACAGATCCACTCTGTGGTTATTTCCACAGGAGCTAAAATAATACAGCAGAAACTGTGATCAATATGAAAGTACAAATACAGTAGTTTTTCATTGTTTTTGATCCCAAGCCTCTGAAATCTGATTGTTAGCTGTCTGGCACTGCCAGCTGGCTACAGAGCTACAGTGTTAGAAGAAGACCACAGAGAGCCACAGGTGTTTGCAGGAAGACGCTGTGAGGTCCTGTGCACGGGGTATGTTTCACACTAGAGCATGTTTTCATTTGATTAACTACATTTCAGATGTTGAATAGCTCCATGTGGATATCTGCTACTTCAATGGACAGTGCAGCTCTGAAACATCCTTGGTTATCTGGACATTCTGTAGAACCTCATACTAGTATGAGGTACTGATGATATTGTGCTAATTAGACCTAATGAGCAAGAAAATGGAAGTTTTCTGGATGCAATGGCAAGGCTTGTCCATGACAGAAGTTGGGATATAAGATCCCTACAAAGATTCAGGGGCCTGATGCACTGCTTGAAGTCTTCGATCTGCTAGATGTCTGTGTAGAAAAGGATTTAACCTTGCCCAAAGAGAGGTTTGGCCTAGGCCTTATGCTGCTAGGCTCTTGAAATATCATTCCTAGTAGGAGAGTTTTGTTTCGCCTTGGGGGTGGTTGGCCAGACGGATAACAGCAATATGATTTAAATTGTGGGCTTTGTATCATGCAGCATCAGTGTGGCTTCCACAGGGACGGGAGCCTGGGATTGGCTACATGGGTCATCATTGATGCTTACATGATGGAACCTCTTCGAAAGACACCAAGGCTTGTTGGGTAAGCTGTTCTGGTTGGCAGTACTTCATGCTGATGATTCCATGCTGCAAGGGAGAGGACAACTGGAAGTTTGGGCTTTGGTCCTTCTCTAGATTCTGCCCTAAACATTTCTTCCCTTGGATGATTTTTTTTTTTTTTTTTTT